TCGCACAGTGTAATTTTAAAGTTCATAGTAATGAAACAGGGTATTGAACAACAGCTTTTCACCATGTGAAAAAAGGAAAGCTGCCTCCAAAGTCAAATGTAATGAGGAACGAGGATGTTGGTACCAAGTACATTAGTGAAGGCCTGAGTCTACTCATGCTTTTTGGCAGTGAAGGGACTCGCGCACCGCCTGTGCTGCTATGGGTGTGCTGAATCCCAGCCCCTAACTGGCTCATCTGAACCTGCTGCTCCCCTGCAGTTCCTAATGTAGACAGAGCCAAGGCTACAAGCAGGAAGGATGCCTCCCTAATTATAAAAATACAGTTAACATTGCTGCTGCTGTTTGTTTTCCACATAATTTAAAAATGGCATCAGTCAGTACAAGCTACGGATTGGAAATATCACAAAAATCCCACTCTTGCAGCATCATCGAAATTCTCCAAAATTAAGCTGGCTGAGATACAGCTTGGAGGAGGAGAGCCCTGTTCTGGTAAGTGACTCAAAAATCCCATTTCTTTGAAGTTCTGAGAGTATTTTAAATTTAACATCTTCCCATGTGCTAGCTAAATCTGACCCTGCTTGCTTTGTAACTGCACCTAGAGATAACTTTTCTCCAGACAGCTTCCCTGGCCTACCTAACCATCCCTTTTATTAATACTGCCTATGTTTTGCCTCCACTTCAAAGCTTCCCATGTGCAGGATTCTTATTTATTTATTTTTGCTTTGGTTGCTAACGGGGAAGCTTTAGCATGGTGGGCAAGGATTTAGGCACTTGTGAGCTGCAGGAAACATAATCCTTAGAGATTAATTTGACAATAGGCTGGATATCTGTTTATTTTCTACTCCTCAAAAGCTTTAGAAGTACTTCAGCATTTTCGTGTCCTCTAAAGGAGAGCTGTATGCTATATTATTCAACCCCAGAGACAACAAAGAGGAGAATATTATGATTATCTCCAATGTTATTTACCAAACAGAAATAAAATTAGTATTATCCCTGCAAATCAGAAAACAAACTAGATTAATACAAAGAACAGCTCTGTACTCAAAAAGGTTGCTTCACGACCGTCTTTCAGAGGTACTAAAGGCAGCTGCCTCACTGTGAAGTTAATTTAATAAGCAGAGGAAATGTTATTCATTTGGTACATATTGTTTGCTAATCAAAGAATATTTCTTGGCATGTACACTGTGCATGACAGAATGTTAAGCCTGCAAACATATTGTTAGTCCTCAAAGTTTTTCATCAAATCTAAGAAACATAACATACGAGCATGTGACACAGAATCACAAAATGGTTGAGGTTGGAAGGGACCTCTAGAGATCATCTAGTCCAACCCCCCTGCTCCAGCAGAGACACCCAGAACACATGGCACAGGGTGGCATCCAGGCAGGTTTGGAAGATCTCCAGAGAAGGAGACTCCACAACCCCTCTGGGCAGCCTGTTCCGTGGCTCTGTCACCCTCACAGGAAAGAAGTTCTTCCTCATATGGAGGTGGAACTTCCTATGTTTCAACTTACACCCATTACCCCTTGTCCTGTCACCCGCCACCACGGAGAAGAGCCTGGCCCCATCCTCCCTACATTCTCCCCTCAGGTACTTGAACATGGTGATCAACTCTCCTCTCAGCCTTCTCTTCTCCAGACTAAACAGGTCCAGCTCACTTAGTCTTTCCTCATACGATAGATGCTCCAGTCCCTTAATCATCTTCGTGGCTCTCCGCTGGACCCTCTCTAGAAGCTCCATGTCCCTCTTGTACTGGGGAGCCCAGAACTGCACACAGTACTCCAGGTGTGGCCTCACCAGAGCTGAGTAGAGGGGCAGGATCACCTCCTTCGACCTGCTGGCAACACTCCTCCTGATGCAGGCCAGGAGCCCATTGGCCTTCTTGGCCATGAGGGCACATTGCTTGTCACAAATTGTCACAAGGGTGACAATTTGTCCTCATTCCTGCAAGGAAGGTAAAAGCTGTAACAGTGACTTGATAGGACTAGGAAGAGCTTATAATGGCTTTTCTCCTTTGTATCTGTGCAGGACAGAAAGCCTGATGACATAATTTCTCCTGCTTTCAAATTATTATCCCACTGAGTATCATATGTAATAACAGCAGCAGAGCCAGCGAGCAATCATTATCAGTAAGAAACACTCCTGGTATGTATCCTCTGTTGAATTTAATCTTAGGAGGGTGTGAAACTCCTTTTATCTAGGTTACCGTGGGCTTCCCATCTAGCACATCTGCCACTATGGTGTATGAAACAAAGTCAGGAATAAAATCATTTCTCATTTCTGGGGAAAAAAATGGCCGATGAGAGTCACCGCCAAACGTCTACTGCCCTCAGATACTGCTCTACTGCTACAACGAGCAGCCTTGCCACAGGACAGTAACTCAGACCACCTCACCTTGGCCAGGGAGGAAGATTTAATCACGCTCTTTCACACTGCAGCCTGCACAGCAGCAGGAAGGAGCATGGGCTGCTGCACGGCGGCTGCTTTCACTTGTCCTGGTCTGATGGATGCTGCAACTGGGAGAAACATGTTTTCCCTGCTCAGCAGGTCGTTGCTCTTAAAATCTTAAATAATATAATGAATAATAAACTTTAGAAATGAAAATCTGGTATGTCTCATTGGATCGAAAGGGATCCAAGCTTCATTCTTTTCAGAAGTCAGTCAAAATTTAAGTGCAAATAGCCACTGTGCAGAGAGGAAAAAGAGAGAAGATCAAAGGTTTTCTTTGAAAATGACAGTCAGAACTACTTTACTTCTTAAACAAACTACTTAACTGTGGGTGGGTGGGAGGAGAGGAGAGGAAGGGAAGAGGGGAGAGAGAGGCGACAAACTAATTTGATCATTATTAAAAAAAAAAAAAAAAAAAAAAAAAAAAAAAAAAAAAAAAAGAAAAAAGGAGGGGGGAGGATCCTGTCCTGCTACCATTACAAAACTGCTGCCCAAACCAACATGCCACATTCTCAGTGTGAACTATCTTTCGATAACCAGAAAAACAATACAAGATTTATAAATCTATAAAGTGATAAATTACTGCAAATGAAAACATGTTTTTCCTCTACCTGGACACAAAAATGAAATCTGAGCTACATATTTATTATGAAAGGAACGAAACTACATTTTTTTTTTAAATAGATGGTTCAAAGTAGCAAACAGCACAGCTGGTACACATTCCCTGATGCTTTTAGTATGGATTATATATTTTTTACCTTACTGAAATATTAATGCTGTGATATTTGAGAGAATTTTGTATTTATTGCAAATTGCTTTGCATCCTTGAATTGCTCATCTGTTTATTTTTAACAGGATCCTCATCACATGAGGAATGGTTTGGAGCACACTTGATGGCTACTTTCAGAACAGTTATTTCAGTAAGCTCAATATATGAGCTCAGTTACCCTATAGGTTAATATATATTCCAAGCATGTGTCCTCCTGCAGTGCACTGTAGTAACAGAATTTCATAATGACACCACACTTTGGAGGAAAAATACCTCTTCTAGAGATACTGTTGAAAGTCATTTTATTTTGCAATGATTAAGATCTATGCAAAGAAGGAAAAATATTTTTTTAGAGTTGATTACACACTATGGCTCACAAGAAATCTCCATTACAATCTGGAATAAATAAATAAATAAATAAATAAATAAATAAATAAAACACATTGCCTGGTATTTCTGCCCTAATATTTACTGACATTGCAAATAAATTGGTGATAAACTCAAAATTAGACGTAGATAAGAGATAATAAGATTTCAAAAGTTCAAGTCATTCAAAACCCATCCAAACATATCCAGAATCCATTTGTACTTTTATTTTCTCCCAAGCAGTCCCAAGAGAGCACATTTTTAGCTGGAGAGGAAAAAAAGAATGTTACTGGCTATCAAAAAAAAAAAAAAGTAATTTCTCAGCTGTGCTACTTCATGTTATTAAGAACACACGGTGATGTTTATCAGAGCAAATAACACAACAAGAACGAGCTCTCCAAACAAGCAGATCATTTAACAGTAAAATCAATAACCAAAGTAGAATTTCAATACAGAGAAGTGTTCTTCAGACTCACCAGTAAGGGAGATTCCCAGTCATATGGAGCCTATAAATACATAGGTGGTGAATATGTGAAGAGCCACAAGTACATTTGCATAAGCGTTTCTGATTCATATTCAACTGCTCATAAAACTTTTTGTGTCACCAGTTTATCATGTCAGGGAAGTTTGTCTTTGTTTGTTTGTTTGTTTTTGTTTTTTTGCTCTAGTCTACATTCACTTGGGAAAGCTGTCATAAAATGGCTAAGCGCTTCTCAAAAATGAGGCATGTTTTTGTTGTCAGGTGCAGTGTCACACTCATTCATCATCTATCAGGATACAGCATTCCCAAAAGACCTTCCTGGCACAGGCACATCCATCCAGAGAGCAGAACATTAACAAGCCATTGATCCCCATTATAAAATTTTACACTTTACAACATTTTGTTGTTGTTGTTGTTTAGAAAAAAAGCTCTTATGCCTTGGCATTAAATTTCAGGTTTCTTACAAAGTTGTCAAGAACATAGTCATAGATATATGCCTTTAAGATGAAAATTGGCTGTAATTTATCAAAGTCAGAATGTGTGCCTTGCATGGACAGTGGTTTTTGTAATGTAATAACTAATGGCCTGTCAACACAGTATTTCATCTACACAACCACTACAATGGGCTGCAGAGAGTCTTCCCTAAAGAAGAAACAAAAGAAAAAGCTTTATTTTTTATTCAGGGAAGAAAAAAAAAAGCTAATCCAACAAGATTTTATCAAGGTCCAGCACTAGATTATTTTCTTTCAATATACAAAAGCTTCTCCTTAAATGTGTTTCTCTCTAAATATTTTAGGATTATGCCTAAATTCTCACTGTATCCCACAGTACAATGGAAGAAGGAAACACGCCTGCTAGATTTCTTCAAAAGGAATTAGAAATGCAGTGTTACCAATACAGATTCAACACAGTCAAAACACATTACCTTCCCAAAACTTACCTTTCTGTGATTGTTTCTCTGAGACCACTAGCAACTCCTTTCACCACTGTACTAGCCTTTGGCGTCAGCACGACTTGCGATATAAAAAAGGAGCCCTTCTTTCTTCTTTCGGTGATTGATGCCTGGAGAAACTGAATCAGTTTTTCTGGATCTGTCGTGTTTGCCCAGGGTGCTGGCATCATCTGACCTGGCCAAAGAAACGGTACCTCAAGAGCCACTGGGCTGTGATAAAACACCAGCACTTGGTGTTCCTTTTCCCACAGGTACTGGAGGCTTACTTCATGGGCAAATATAGCAGGACACATTTTGTTTCCGTAGGTGTCTTTGAGCATTTGGACAAGCTTTTCATGATGGCATTTCTGCATGCCATAGAAATGATTAAAGTCCAAGAAGACCACTTCTTTGGGGTGGTCAGTGAGAAAAGCATTGATCTCTTCCAGGCCCTCATTGACTTTGGCACTGAATAAACCGTGAGCAAAGTAGAGCTCATTGTCCGGGTCTCTGGGCTTGGTGGAAATTCTAAGATCAAAATATCGTATACCTGCCCCCAGCTGGCTAGTGAAGTTCATTGTCTGTGTAGCCAACCACTTCCTCATCAGCTTTTTTGCCACTGTCCCAAATACAGAGACAAAGTTCTGGACAGTTTCTGGCTGTTCAGGCCCAACTGGAGAGGCTTCATCAATGTAGAAGCTAAATGAGTCATGAGACCCTAAAAACACAACAAAAGAAAACAATCAATATTGCATTCGCACATTAAAAGTTATTAATGATTCTTTGTTAATAAATGATCCCAATCTGCACAAACACTCACTCACAGACTCCTCCCTTGACCTTTTACTCAATAAAAGTATGTTTATCTGGCAATATTTATTTCACTGTCACTTCACAAGAACTTGAATGAAAGGCAGCATCAATTTTGAAGCTTGAGTCCCACTCTCTTTACTTCTTACTTATGCCTTTAACTTCCCTGAAGTCAGTGGTTCTGAACCTTAAAATAAGCTAAACATAACACCAAAGTCACATAATAGGAAAGGCCCCTAGAATCAACAACAACAACAAAAAAAACAACAACAAAAACAAAAAAGTAAAAGAGAGACTCTGACCCTGCACTCTGAATGATGCACTGTATGGAGTTTGCAGAACAACAACCCTACCTCCAACAAGTCCTTTATGGTCAGCTAAAATACTAAAATATTGATTGAAAAATGCCCAAAACATCTAACCTTCCTGAATCCCTCTCTAGTTCAAGTCTCATCTGGTCTGCAATCAAGTTACTTAGTATTGTGTTCCTTTTAAAATACGCATCTGAAATCTTTGCATTCCATAGAGGAAGCTACTTAAGTATAACAAATGCAGCCAAGAATAGCATTGATTTCCACTGCTTAAAATAAAGTGCTATTGTATGCTCGCAACAAGAATGGAATACACTACTTCACATGCTTATGTACGGAAGTTGCAAGTTTTCACAACCTAACACGGTTACACAAAAATATACAAAGTAATTTGTGATGCAAAATTCTCTTTGTTTCAAGAAAAAAAAAGGAAAAGAAAAGGAGAAAAATGAAAATTCATACATTTGAGCAGCATTCAGACCCTTTGCTGATAAAGCTAAGGGCATATGCAAATGTCCTTCTATCTGCAAATATATTAAAAGTCTTCTGCAAGGAACTTTGTTTTGCTTTACTGAGAGACAACCTGAATTTAGGAGATGTTTCTCACCCCTGTATACCATTAGTTTTCCAAATAACTAGCAGTAAATCTGGCAGTTTATACAGCAAGACTGATTGCAAGGCTGCATTCCTCCCGTGCCACACACACACTGCAGAGCTCTTCCGGCCAGCAGGACTTGCATTTCTGAAACAGACTGCAGCACTGGGCCCTCAGCGATCCAGCTTCTAGTAGCAAAATGAGTTCATAGCACATGTCCTGCCTTCTAGCACTGCTTTTAGAGTGCTCCTGAAAACTGCTTTCCTAAACCTGAATTTTGTGGCAAATAAGCATCACATTAATAAAACTCTGCTAGTCAGTCCTTGGTGTTTTAGCCAAGATGGAACCAACCCTACAAAGTGAAGTGACAGTTACGAGATTTTCTTCTTTAACAATAAACGCAGTCACGACAAACCATCTTAAACTTTGGTTTGAATTTGTCTTTGTTTAATTAGACAAACATCTTATATTTTTGTACACCCCTGCTTTTCACAGTTCTATCTTTGAAATGCATTATATTCTAAATTTTCAATTTGGATGATGCTTTCAACACTGCTAAGTGTTGAAGTGATACCACACTCTGCAGATATGGAATAGATCATGGAGTACCTGGTTACACAGTGATATCCCAGGGGACCAGATCTGCATACAGAATTTTAATGATAAAACAAATGATTAGAGCAGTAGTTTGTGTCTCAACAGCATTACAGGGAAAAATCAATGAGTTACATTAAATGTGCTGCTCAATGTAACCTGCAATAACCTAGAAATCAAAGTAAATCCAGTCTTGTTTAAAACAGGGCATAGTTACTGATATAACTAAAGGATGGATCTTGCAAACCCTCACTAAGTGAATTCTTCATCCATTGAAGCCTCTCCAATTTCCCTAGAATTTTATGTAGAAGAATAAGGATATATGTATAAACTATTAACTGATTGCAGCAGGATGATAGCAAGATTAATTAGACCTTTAATCCTTCCTTGCCTGGTCTACAGCATCTGGCAACCTAAACTTGCAGAATAAGTTAAACTTGATTACTACAACCAATATGTATAGTACCAACTGTGATTTAAAACTAATAAAGTCAAGAGAAGCAGCACAATTCTCACAGCAGAAAACTATGGTGAACACCTTGTCAGTGGACAGTTTTTAATGTTGGTAAAGCAAAACAGAGAAGAGAGTGGAAGAGGGAGGAAAAAACACAGCATGGTTGCAAGCTATTGAACGTTACAAGCAAGATAGCTTAGAAAAATAATTTTTCATTATTAAGGTCTTGAAGGGCAAAACAACAGGACACAGGCAATCTGGAGAGCATTGGAGAGAATGTTTTCCCTGACGGCACTCCTTCAAGTAGACAAAGTGCGCTGTAGGATCTGCTATGAATAAGGAAGAACCGGCTAGGGATGAAAAGACTGATGCCTTAAAATGTTTTTTCCTGTGACTTTTAAGACTCCCGTGAGGAAGCCACAGCAATCTGAAATGCACCGCCATAAGAATTTTAAAGGCAAGGCTTTTTTTTTGACTGTACAAACACCGAACTCTGCTGCAAGGACACCTGTGAAGCAGAGAATAAGGATTCCTCCTGCACATTAACGAGTGCACTGACAGCTAGTTTATCAGCGCTCCAGGATGGGCTGTCCTAGGAGTTACCATTAGGAAATCCAGACTAGATTCATTTTCATTTTCTCAGTGACTGAGCCTGAAAAACTGGCACAAATCTGAGCAGTTAATCTGATTCTCATGGGAAAAAAATGGAAAAAGCAGGTGAAAGCACTGTCATCTTTCCTAAAGATTTTTTTTCCTTTAAAAATCCAGAAAACAGTCTTAAGCACTTGGAACCCAAGCTTTTTGAAGGCATCATCATTTCAGCACATACAAATAGCTGCTCTGACAGAGGGGGATCTCAGTTTGCTCTGCTGTAACTAAATAGGTGCAAGGGAGCAGTACTTGCACCAAAAGGACTTACTCCACAGTGCTAAGTGGAGCAGTACTGGTGGTACTGAAGTACAGTGGAGCAAACACGGACTCATTTTGCTGACCATAAACATGACCCATCCTCCAAGTTACAGTGACATGGTGTTGCTATTCTGCTGATGCCCTGGCCCAGAGAGCTGAACTTACAGTACAGCTGCACTTTTTTACCATGTACAAGCACCACTTTACAAAATTACTCCATGTGAACACCTTGGAGGGAAAAAACTCCTAAAGGTCTCACTTTGTCTCCATCACGGAATCAGTATTTGACTTTTGTGTGCACCTGTACAAGGAAAATAATCTCATTCAAAGATTCTGAATGTGAGATTTCAAGGCAGCTGTGGCATTCATTGGTGCTCTATTTATACATTACAGATCACTAGAAGATGTTAGGCTCTGATCTAGTTGGCACCCATAGTTTGTAACAGATTCCAGCATATGTCCTCCTGACACCTGATCCTACTCTCATACACATACAGAAGACAGAAATTTGACTGGGTGCACACTATATGAAAAAAAGCTTCCATAGCACCTGCAAAACACTACATCAGCATCATAAAATAGCCTTTTGCAATCAGGTAACACCACATCTAGAAGACAATGGGCAAAGAAGCTTCAGAAAGGGGAATGGCGGAAAGATGCAGGCAGTCAGAAAAGGAGAACCTCAA